TGTTCCTGTGAGTCAGTACCTTCGGACTTTGGCCATTTCTGTATGGTCTTGTGCTAGTGAGTTATGTTTTGTCAAAGTGCCTTTCCCTAGGGCTTGTTTCACCTCTGGAACAAACTGTTTGGTTAACAGTTCACGGAACTGTGCTGCTCAGAAAAGGAAGCAAAGAGGAGGCAGTTCCCAGTGCCCTGAGTCTGTGGCACTTCTGCATGTGCTATTTGAGTCATTTCAGACTTCCTGACCTTATCAGCTTAGGTCTGGCCACATGGTGGTTTGAAGAGAGACACCCTTCCCCAGCTTCCTCTCTCCCTTTCCAATTTTGGATTCCGCTTGGGGGAGGAAAGGCATCTCCTTGCACAGCATGTCCCAGCTCCCCAGTCTCAGGCTGGCTTTCTCTTTCCTACTTAATTACTGTCCTTGAGATGTGCCCTGATCTCCATCAGTAAAGGCTGGACTCGATGTTGCAAGAACTGCTGCCTCCCATGGGAGCAGGTGATGCATGAGTTACTCCTACTCCTGCCTGCACAAGGCCACGCTCTCAAGGCTGTTTGCTTTATTTGGGTTACTGATGCTCTTCAAAACAAGCCTCTTTTATAATTTGCCTATCTATATTAAAATCTGGACACCCTGGGGTTAAAAAATAAGAACCTAGGAGTTGGCAAGTGATCTGTATGTGTTCCCATTTCTATGTGTCTCATGATCTGCAGGGCGCCCAGATGCAGCCCTAGACGGCTTGTGGTGATCTAAGCATGAAGTAGTTCTGCTGCAGTGCTCTGGGTTTGTTCTGCACTGGTGTAGACAAAAGGTTTCTGTGGTCTTGACACTTCAGGTGTCATGCAGAAACCTTTGTTAGGGTCCTGTCAGCAGCATTTGCTGGGACTGCCTTTCCCCTTTCTGTGCTTTTCATTTAAAACCTGGGCTTTCTAAACCTGCTAAAAATAAATATGAGTGCCAAGTACTAAAGAGTGGTTAAACTCTAACAGGCTTAAAATGGGTGAAAAATGTGAATGTATAGTGTCTTTTCCAGTAGTCAGCTTCACGGAAGGTGATTTAAGTTGCAGCCATGTAAGCTGAAAATGGAGTGAGCTGCTAATTGCTTTAACGAAAATACAGCATTATCTGGGCTGGATTTGTTACTCAAAGGATCAGCATCCTCATGGTCCTCCATTCCTGTGCAAGGGCTCAGTGAATTTTAGGCCAGCTTTGTGTCAAGCTGATGCAGTCATGCTTTCTTGTAGCTTACCAGAGCTCTTGGGGTAAGTATTGTGAAAACAGAGTGGCTCCCAAATATGTTTTTAAACATAAAAAAATTTTATAATCAGAATCTGCCATTAATACAGAGCTGTATTTTGGCGTTGTCTTTTTCTGGTGGAAAAGAGTTTGTGCCTTTTAATATTCAGCCATTGCAGATGGTATGTCAGACACAGCTGAAGGGGTTGAGGACTAACGGTGGTGAATTCCTCTCACGTGTGGTCTTTGGGAGTTGTACATCTTGGGTTTAAGGTTTGCTGTAGTATTGGCAGCATCCCTGTGCAGTGGAGGTGTGGCTTACCCCACCCAAATGACTCTCTTAATGGTGCAAGTTCCTCAGCTTCGGAGGTTTCTCATCTGTGTCAATGTATGGGGCAAATATGTCACTTTCTCTTCAGGTTCTTAAACTTTGGGTGGTGCTTTATTTCTGGTCTTGCATTACTCGCTTCAGTTCCTTTTCTAGCAGTGCACTTCTAAGGTCTTCTTTTGCCTTACTGGTTTATGGTGCCAGGTAAACCTGTTGATACTCCTGGTATCCAGGACTGGATCCTGGTATTCCACCACTAGCACTGGTGGAAAGTAAGTTCTTCGAACAGTATCTTTAGTTAAATATTTGTGTATGGATTATCTTTTGTCACTCTAAGTAACACTGCTGTTAGAAAAGTGAACTGTTTCAGCTCCTAGGACTGGGATTAAGGACTTGAAGGCCTGTGCTTTAAAGGAATCCAGACTCAACTGATTATGTTTGAAAGGGTAGAGAGAAGAGCAGGAGTTAAATGGCTTACTCAGACTTTTTTCCCACTCTAAGGAGAAATTTTTTTTGTACAGAGAATATTTATAATGTGGAGAAATTGGTGTGTGCATCACAGACAACCATGAAGTATGTTTTCATCTTATGAGTTATAATACGAAGTTTTCTTTAATGATCTAAGTTAAAAATTAAGCAGAGGAACAGGTGGGTTGAGTAGCTTTCCTATCATCTTCCTTCATTGCAGTTTCAGAAGCTGAGTTTCATAACACTGATGAGCAAATGATTTATTTTGATTGCTGTTGCAATTGAGTCGAAACTGTGGCACCACTCTTGTCTCAGTTCAGGTTTGCCTCAGGTCCTTTTCGTTGTCAGGACTTAACATTGCTAGAATCTAGTTCAGTGTTTTTCTCACAGTAGTTCAGTCTCCAGTGGGTGAAGCAGTGGCAGCTCTGGGCCCTTCAGTTCCTGTGTACTCCAGGCTGTTCACAAAGCCCGTGATGTCTCAGCCTTCTTCCACGTCCCAAGCAGTGCCCGTGGAGGTTGTTGGACTGGGCTGTGAGAGACCAGGGAGAAAAGTAAAGACTCCACAGATTGCAGAGCCTCAAAAGCAGCAAAACCATCTGCTGTGCTCTCCTTGGAGTACTGAACACTCACTGTGTTGGCAGAAGCCCCTCATGTGTGAGGCTCTGTTGAGAATCTGCAATTTTGCTGCATTTGTTTGTTTTACCTGGATGAAGTGTGGCTGGATAAGCTGTCCTAGCACGACTGTGGTTTGGCTGATGTTTACGGGGACACTCAAGGAATATTTTGTAGGTACGGCACACGATAGGCAGACATGTAGAGTTTGTAGTAGAAAAGCGGGCATAAACTGCATCTAGTGTAGAGAAATATTTAAATGCTAGAAGAGCAAAGTGTGAGATAATTGGCATGATGAGATGTTATGTCCTGATTTTATGATAACTGGGTTGTATGGTGACTAGTAGTGGGTTACAAAAGAGCCAGACCCTGTTGCAGTGCTTTTGTACTGTTGAGCTGTACTGTCTTGCACATCTCTGTCAGTGGAGGTGACCAGGTTTTTTTTCTATTTGTAGGTCTAGTGAATTCTGGACAGTTTTCTTTATGATGGGAATACCTTATCCTAGTGATAAATTATATTCTTCCTCCTCTGTGCATTTCCACTCCCTTCTCCCTCCTCCACAAAAAAAAAAAAAATTAAAAAATGCCAACTGCTGTTTGTGTCTAAGATAGAGTAGAGTGAAAAATACAGAAGAGTTCTTAAGTCAGACTCTGAATACCTGGGTTTGCAGGTGTTTAGCATTCATATTTACCTTTAAAATCCAGTTGTTAATGTTTTATTTTTATTTATAGGCTCCTTTATTTTTAGCTAGGTCATGCCTGTGTGTAGTGATTAGGACATACATGGCTAAGGTAGAATTTGTTGTAATAGTGAATAAGTCAGATATAGGGGCAGGACAAATTCCATTTCTGAATCTGAGAAAAATTCAAACTGTTGTAAAATACAGGATGGGATGTTCATGGCGAGGATGGGGCACTTTGCATGAAGCATCCCATGTTGTGTGTGCAGCTGATGCCTTCCCCTTGTGTTTCTGGATTCTTCTACCTTGGAATTGATATTTTTAGTTATGTAGTGAAGATAAACAGATATTACTATGCAGGCTGTGCACTCTTGCGTAGTCTCATATATATCCTTACTGAACACTTTGAGATGCAGGGTTTTAGTGGGAAAAGGGATTTTTAAGATTATTAACTGGTGTGCTGCATTGGTATTGCTTTGTTAATGCAAAGATAAACACTGATAATACAAGCTGATGGTGTGAGAATATAGAATGGTATGGACGGAGCTGTTGCTGTTATTATAGAGGAGTAAACTCTGCCATTTATTTAGTAAGAGAATCAAAATTTCTGTGGCAGTTCGTGCATTGTTGTTCCTTTAAAGGAAGATTTTGTGTGAGCATGTGAAGTGTCTTCAGAGGCTGCTCATGTTTATTGCACAAGAGCAAGCGTTTGCTTTGTACAGTGTTGATGGAGTCGGTGCCTGCACACACTTGTTGATAACTTGGACTTCAGAGTTTTGTTTTTCAAAAGCCTTTTGAGGCAAGGTAGTTAACTGTGCTTGCCCTACAGCGTGGGCAGTGAGAGAGATTTAACCTCAGGCTAGAGAGTCAGGAATATATACAAGGAGCATGGGATGGGTGGGAATTACCTGTTTGCTTTACCTTTAGGGAAGGTAAGTGAGAAAAGCCTGTTTACACCCAGAACCATTGCAGCTACTGCCTGGTTTCCTTTTGGTGCAAGTGAAAATGTCCTAGGAATGTGGGATTGTAATTGGAGGAGGGGTGGAATTTCAGATAGGCATGTGGCCTGAGGAATGTGCCTTAGTGTTTTGCTATTATGTTACACTCCAGATAACTCTGAATTAAATTCTCTTATTCTTTCAGCTGTTTTTCAAGATCATAATGCAGCAGAAAAATGAAAAGCCATAGAAGACATTTGCTTTGGAAAAGAAGTCAGTTGCTGGCCCAGTCTGGAAGATGGACCACTGTTTTTGGGAAGCTTGGGAAATACTGCTTCCAAAAGCAAATTTTCCTAACTTAGAAGAAAATACAGAGTGCTCAGCTATTTGTGAGTTTAAATCCCAGCAAACTGTACAGAAGACTGCAGTGCAGAAGGAAGACACCTGAGCTCCGAAGCAGGTGGGCTCCTCATGTGCTTCTAAATGCAGAATCCTGTCCAAAACCTACATTTGAGTCATACAAAACTACTGAGAGCAAAAAGATCCCGTCCCTATTGCAGAGCCGAAAGCCCACCTGGAGAAGCAGCAAGGAAACTCAACAATGAACCCTTTGAGAGCGAAGATCCCTTGAATGAAGAATTTGAAACTGTTGCTGTTCTTAATAGCATCTCTGGCAATATCCATTATGTCTCATGTGGTACTCTGGAAGGTTCTGCCTTACCTGTAAAGAAAGGTGGTTTTGTGTATAGCGGGGAGGAGAGCAATAATGGTGAGGGCAACACAGTCCTGGTAGTTTTAAACAACTATAAAAGGAAATGCTGTTGCAAAGGGAGTGGAATGGAACTTGTGGCCCCTTGACAGCTCTGAAGAGGTCCAAATTTAATCATCATACTGTAAAAAAGAGATTTTTATTTATGATGCATAAGAAACTTTCTATGGTCAGGTTTCGGTATAGAATCATAAAATCCCCGAAACTTCGAGCAAGAGGCAAGACTTGCAAACTGAGAAAAATCAGGCCAAGGTGGGTAAAGAAAGCTACAAGGGACCATCAAGAGACGCTTCAGTGGGATTTTGAAAGTGGAGTGTGTAAGTGGTTTTCCTACTGGAAATCTAAAAGTAGCCGTCTCTGGAACCGGTACAGCTTATCAGATATGAACAATAATACACCCAAATCTTTAGGTGAGGAGAACGAAATCTGTGCACCTGAGGTCTGCCGTACACAGGACGCGTTACCGTCTGCTGAGCCGTGTTCTGAGAGTCCAGGATCCAGAAGGCAGGATGGCAGAGTGGATGCTGTCCCACCAGAACTGCATGTTAGAGCTTCTCCGGAGGCAGAGGCCTTGCACCAGGTGGAGACCAATGGGGCTTTGTCAGAGGATCATTGCTCTGACATTTTTGTCCCCATGACAGAAAAAGAAATCGCTGTTTCAGATCAAGAAGGTGCAGAATCCAAGGAGGTTATGGGTGTAGATGGAATGACACTGTTGCAATCCTCTGTGCAGGATTCTGTTGTTGATGATAATTTTGCAAATGGACCTTTATCCATGGAGCTGACACAAAATGAGGACAGCTCTAGCCAAATGGAAGTAGAGGGCTCCTTGGACATCTTTAGTTCAAAATTACTAGATCACCCTTACTGTAAAAGTCCTCTCGAGGAGCCTTCACCGGAAAGCACAGGACTGAAATCAGGAACTCGGAAGGGAGGCAAAAGGAACAGTCAGAAAACTTCCCGGGTGGCCGATGAGCAGTTGGCAACGTGGCTTTGTGGTACACCTTTTACATATCTTAGGGCATCCAGGAGTTGCTGAGAACTGCTGGCTTTTTTGTTGAGTTTACATGTTGCATTAATTCCTTTATAAAAATGGTTTCTTATCATGAATTGTAAAGGCTGCTTAGCATAACGCTTGATGAAGTGAGGCTACAAAGAGGAGAGCTGCATAAGGGAAGGACAAATCAATGGTTACCTGACAAGCTATTCTGAGAGATTGTTGAGGGGTGCCTCTGCTTATTTTGTTTTAGAGAATACAGTGTAATTTAGTTGGAGTCTCTGTGGAAAACTGTTGATGGAAATTTTAAATGTCTGATGATGATGTCAGAAGATGATCCAGTTTTTTAAATGTTTTAAATGGTTTTAAATTATTACTCTTAATCTTGAAAATCCTAGGTGTTCTAATACTTCCACCTTTATCCTCTCTTCTCTTGATCTCTCTTAGACTGAAACTAAATCTCTTAAACTCGGATTTCAATAGCCAAATATTGTTCATTGTCCCTTAGCTTTCTCTCTGATTGTTCATAAAGTAGGCTTAATGAATCTTATTAGACAATACTTTTTTAAAAAGGCAAGAGTAGAGTTAGCAAAGGTTCAGCAAAAAGGCTTTGGGATTTTTTTACTCAGTGCTGAGCGTGCAGTATTTGATAGTCTCTCTAAAGAGGAACATGATAAAAATAGTAGTGGTGTCTCATTTATGTATAGCAGCATACTACACACATAGTAAGGAGCAGTAAGCTAACACGTTGTGCCATCTGATACCATTAATGTAAGTTCAGTGATGTTCTGACAACTGAAGTCTTCCTTTGGAGAAATTGCCTTTATAGAGCCCCATAAACCTGAAGCTGGTGTTAACTACTGTTAAAGGGATTGTTTGAAGTTTGACATGCTCTGATTATTCTGCCCACCTTTTTCTGCCCACAGTTTTGCAATTGTTTCTCTAAAGCAAAATGTGAAAAAGGAGACGGTGAACCTCAAAAGAGGATTTAGCTTTCCACATCCATATCTGCATGGGAGATGTGTGGGAGGTGTTTCTCTGTGACTGGCTTTACGTGATCCAGCAAGGACCAGACACTGTGAGAAACTGAGAGGAACTGTGGTACCCCAGTGAACAGACCACTTCTGCAGTAGAGTTTTGAAGTTTGCCCATCAGAAAAATGGATGTAATCTTTCTGTAACAGTCAAGAACCAAGGCTGTATCGGAGTGGCATAGGTTAAGTTTTTGTGGTCTGGTAGGCAGTCATGTTCTTCTTCCTGGGAGGCCTGAATAGTTTAAAAAAATAAAATGGCAAACAGCAAATCCACTAAACTTTCCCACACTTGACAATTTTAAGAGAATTCTTACCTAACCTCTGCATGAAAGTAGGTGAGACCAATTTCCATTTTCTTCAGAGCTGAGGTTTCCTCTCAGAGGATCGAAGCCAAGTCTACTCTACGTACACATTCATACTGTTAGTATAGCACTTCTGAGTTTTCCTAGCTGAAAAAGCTGTGAAAGAAAAGAATTTTAGTTGTGGTATAACTATGTATAGGAGTTCTTGTGTGTTTAGGTGTGCTGTTAATATTAACTGCACCCTAAAAGATAGTGCTGACCTGGCAAGAGTTCCTGGGGTAGAAACTTGAAGGAGATGTGTTAGGGCTGCTCTCAAGTTTTGAATTTCTCTGCAGCAGCTGAACTCGGATGTTAATGGGCTGCACTACTTAGTGCATTGTGATGTGCTATCGGGTATCAAACAGAGCCCCGTGGTAAATCCTGTTCGTGACGGGTATCTGAGTTTGCACCAGGGCTGAACTTTATATTTCTTCCTTGAGTTACACCAGCCCAAGCGAGGTCAGTCTAGCTAGAGGTCTCCTGGAGCTCTGCTGCTGTTAGTTGTAATGACAAGAACATTTCTTCCTCAGTGTATTGAATGAAAAGCTTTTTAAATTTTTATGTAGTAAAAGGGAACAAGGTGCACTCATAAGCACCATGCGTTGTCGATCTAGACTGCTAGCCTGAGTGAGAAATATCCTTCCTGTCACAGTGTACTGAGATGTAAGGGATAAAAGTTGTTAGGCAAGTGTGTGGCAGAGTTGCAGGAAAGGTTATCTTCCCATGAAGAATGTTACCTTGTGGTCTGATCTCGCTCTTCAATCCTCCCTGCCATCCTTCTGTCACACTTGTTATATCTTCACTGCTTTTCTTGACTCATTGTGTTCTGGTGGGTTTTTTTTGGTCGCTCTCCTTCCTTTTTTTATTCTTAGTGCTGTTTTTCTGGCAATTTTTTTCTGTCAAATGTTTCTCTCTCGTCTTGCTTCTTCCTATCCTGATCTTGAAAGTTTCCAGGAACTATTGTTAAAGCCTTAGTAAGCAGAGTGTTGAACACTGCACTGTGTAATGATGCTCTCTGCCATCACACCCCAGCCTGAGAAGAGTCCTGGACTTTGCATTAGTGCAGTTTCCCTGGACTCTGATCTCAGATCCAGCTTTCTTTACACAGAATATGTGTTTTCCGCTGCATTTGAAAATTCATTTTCAGAAAGCCGGACAACTTGGTCTTTTTTCACTTGTTTGTTAGCAAGTGTTGAATACCTGTTCTCTTTCGTTCTCAAAGTGGTTTTGGATGCTTGTGTGCAATTTATATCTCCAGTGTTAGAGTCTTGTATTTGAGGAAGAAAAAAAAATCTTGTTTTCTAGGTTTTTTAATTCCTCCAGCATTCATCTCTTCATTACTTCCAAGTTAATACCTTTGTTTCTGCTGTCGTGGTTGCCCAGTCCTTTCCTGGGCCATGGCAGGCTGACATAGCTGTCTGCGTCACCTGAAATGCCATCCCTGGGATACAAGGGTGAAGGAGTTTAACTTGCTGGGAGTCTGTCTGGCATCTTTTCCATTCACCATGGTGGCAGCAGCGGAACTGAGCAGGCTAGAAACACTCTGCCAGCTAAGGCTGCCTGCATTAGAGGAGAGTAATTCTGCCTGCCATAAGGACAGGATACTGGGGTTTCAGTGAAACCTGTTGCAGGAAGTGATGGCTTTTCATGTTGCAGTAAAATTATTTAACTTTGATGTAGATATGCGTACATGTAGATTTGTGTATATATGGCAAGAACGGAGTCTGATCTTTTTCTGTAACGCTGAGTGATCAGATTCACACATTTATATTTTTGTCCTTCCTCTCTACCCCTACTTTTACATAATGCTGCCAATTTGAGCTTAGTTTTCTTAACTGTATACTTGCCATGTGTGGTGCTGTGTGTCGGTTGGGTGCAGAGTGACTGCTGCTCGTACTTGTAAGAGCTGACTGCTTTGTTGGGCTGGTGGACTCAGAAGGTTTTTATATGTTTGCACTTTCATTTTTTCTGGTATATTTAAAGGATTCCTAGATGAAGTTATGAAGAAATATGGCAGTTTAGTACCACTCTGTGAAAAAGATGTCATGGGAAGATTAAAAGAAGTCTTTAATGAAGATTTCTCCCATAGGTGTGTAGCACATTCTACACTTGGTAAAGGACAAATTGCTTGCATTTCTACTGCATGTTCCATGTCTAACAACTAGCAGAACAGAAGTCTATTTAACATGACCTTGACTTAATTTTTCTCTACGTTTTCAATCCTGTTTTAGAAAACCTTTTATCACCAGGGAAATCATGAAGTATCGGGAAAAACATCCAAAAACCTCCACTTGCAATTTCCGGGTCTTCTATAATAAGCACATGCTAGATATGGATGATTTGGCTACACTGGAAGGCCAGAACTGGCTGAATGACCAGGTCAGAAATGCTTGGTATTCATGTGCTTCTCTAGCCCTTTTTAACCCGTTTGCCTTAGAATATCAGTTGTGTATCTTCTGCTGACATTACAGGTGGACTGTCCTTACTTTTGTTTAAGGAGTAGAAGGAATGGTGAGCAGCTTTTACAGTGACAGGTGCACTAAGTCTGGAAGCTGAGGTGTCACAACTAGACTGGTTCCTTTTGAAAAAATGATGTTGCACTATTTTTATAAAGCAGTGACTACCCATACAGATTTTAGAAACTCCCCCCATCCCCAAGCTTGAGCAGATTACAAGAACGATGAAGTGAAATAGCAGACTGTGGCCCACAGCCAAAAAACTGAGAAGGCTGCAGAGCCCAGGGCATGCACCAGTAAATTTAAATTGAATTAAACTACGTTTAAGATTGAGGCAGACTTGAAGCAGCCAGTTATGATCTCTCTCCAGGCTGGCCACTATTAGTTCCAGAATGCTTGCCCTTCAGACCATGTTGCTGTAAAGGCTTCTTGTCATATTGCTGTTTTAATGTGAAGGGTCCTGTGTTTTATGGGAACTTGTGAATGTGGGTCTTACAATATTATGCTGTATGTATTCAACTATTTACTGGCTTTTACAGATAATTAACATGTATGGTGAACTCGTAATGGATGCAGTCCCTGAGAAGGTGAGGGGGTTTTGTTATCGTGCAAATGTACCTAATGAGAGATTGAGAGGGAAGGGTGAGACTGAATTTCAGATACAGAATCGAGATTCAGCTCAATGATGTTCTGAGTGGTGTTCCTTTTCAGTGCTGTTGCTCTTGTTTCAGGAACTCGTATCAGCTGTGCAGGTGGTCTCTGGGGTAGCTTAATGTTACTGATGTACCTGTAGAAGACACTTGCCCAGTTTTCACCCTTCCCTTTCTCCCCTGGAGGTTTCTGTCTCCAGCTTATTTACTTCTAAAGTGCTGTGTCCATGCCCTTGCTCACCAGTCTGGTGTTTCAGCTGAAATTTCTGATGAAGATGAATTTCTGCTGAGATGACAAACCATGAGTGTTAGCATCTGAACCATGCACATGAGCTGCTTGCACTCACCCTCCCGCCCACCTCGTAGCTGTGGGGGCTGTAACAGCTCAAGCTGTGTCAGCTGCCTGCCTGGTGAATGTGAATTGATGTGGAGCTGCTTGGTTCCTTGGCAGTATTGACTCTGCAGGACTCTGTTTTGTGCATCCTCAACAGAATGCTTACTGCTTTGTAACTGCAGTGCCTGTTGGTGGCAGTTGAGAAAAAGAAATCAAAAGAAAAAATAATCAAGAAAACAAGTTCCCCCCCCCATTCTGTGACTAAATTTACAGCAGTGACAATTATAAAAACCCATCTGTCCTCTAGTAGGGCTGTACAATTTTCAGGTGAGACCACAAAGGAAGAACCAAACAAAGCCATTCTTAGATTAGCTCAGCAGAATGTAACTCTTAAAATCTTCAGACTCACAAGAAAGAGCATTGTTGCTTTGACTGGGAGGTGATGGTGATTCTTCATTAGTATTCTCCGTGCTTCCTGAGTGTGTGCTGGGGTTGGGCTAGTGGAGATTGTATCTGTTTGCTTGTGTCTGCTGTTTCTTCGTAGTGCATAATTGAAATCCTCATGGGAGGTTTTGTGCTGGTACCTCAGAATGTGGTTTTGAAGTCTGTTGGCATAGCTAATGGGCGTTAGACTCTGTTCTCAGATGCAGAATTTTCTAACTATTTTTTTCAAGTAATAACTCAAGCCTTCTACCACCTCTACACTACCAGAATTATTAAAAGCAGATGTTGCAGATTTCTATTTGTATTAATCCGTTCCTGTAATTGCAAGAAGCTAAGCACAGGGAGTAATAGTGTTAACCTGGAGCTAAACTTTTTTTTTTTTAATAAGCCTACATTTTTTTGTCATGAATGTAGATTTTTACTTACAAAATGGATCTGTCATACCTTAAAATACTTTTCAATAGCAGAATATTATTTTTGTCGAGAGCTGGTCATAGTAGCTGAATACAAAGGACCATGTTGTTGGACTAAATCTCATAAATGTTTTGATGAATTTTTCTTTTTTTTGTGTCTCAACTTCCAGCAACTAAAGCCAGAAGTTACTCCCTTCTTCACCACCCCCACTTTTCCAGTCCAGTGCTCTCTTCCTTGATCCCTGTAAAGAACAACAAAAACTATAACTCCTTATCATGGTGTTTTTCTCCCAAGACTGTCCCCAACAAAAAAATTAAACATGATATGCCTGGAGATACAAAAATGTAAATATAAATGCTGCAGTGGCTCACATCATATATTATAGGGAAATAAGGCTTATTTTATTAGCTTGCTGAAGAGCAGCAATAGTTTAGGCTTGGCAAAGCCTCTGTTTGTCCCTACTGGGGTTCTGTTTCTAAACCTGCATTAAATATTGCCTCATTACAAGTTGTTTTGTATAAATTATCCTGGGGGAAGGGGAATGACTGTGCATGAAGATTTCTGTGCTCATTCCTCCTCTCTCTCTCTTTTTAGGTTCATTTCTTTAACAGCTTTTTTCATAGACAGCTCGTAACCAAAGGATATAATGGGGTAAAGCGATGGACTAAAAAGGTATCCTTGTTAGTTCTCTGGTTCCATTGGGCTGGGCTGGGCTGAATCACTAACTTGAAACTGGGTTACAGTGTGTTATCTGCAAAGGATGGATTGGCAAAGGAGCTGTACAAATTGGGCAGAGCTTGATAAAAATAGTGTGGCACTGTTCAAGTTAGTATGGGGATGTTGTGAAAATGTGCTTCTAATGGCTAAATCTTCAGTGGTGGGTTATCTCTTTGTGTATGTTCATGCAAGTTGTTAATTTAACTGTAAGAAATGTCTCCTACTGCTCCTGGCAGTTCCAGGTACACTAATCTGCAGGAGACCAGACTTAATTCTGCTTCTTCCTTTTATCTCAAACTGGCATTCTTTGACAAAATCAAGTTGTTACTCCTGAGTAACACATACAGGTACTAGAAAGCAGAAATTAGAGACTCATAGTTAATAAGCCAAACTGTTGTTCTCATGGCAAGAACAGAATTCACCTTGCTTTCCAGAACCTGTACCAGATCATGGGTTATGATATTTTCAGAGGCAGCTAATACAAAGAGAAATACTCTCTTTTTTTTCTATGAACATTTATCCTTTCTAATATGGGAGATGAGACAAGACTAATCAAAGGCCATGTTTGAATGTATGAACTTTCTGCAGAAGCACTTAAATAGCACACATCTGTGCAATGCTAGAGATGAACTCATTATCCAAATATAAAATCTATTCATATAATTTATTAAAAGTCTCTTTAAAGTAAGACAGAATATTGGTGCCTTATATTCCCAGATATTATTTTTTAAAAAGATCTTTCTCTCCAGCAACCCAAGTTTTGCAAAAACCCCAAAAATGAAGGTAGCTTCTGGAAGCAGAGCCTGTATTGCTGTTGCTTCTGAGGAGGTACCAGATGAGAGCAGGACAGCTCTTTAGACATTTACACTTAAAATTCTTGAAGAATCTATAAAGCAAGATTGAGGACTAAGCAGTTTCTATGGGAAGGATTCTGTCGACTCCTTCATCCTGCAATATGCAATTAAGAGGAAGTTCTTTCTGCTCTTAAAACGCACTAGAATATTGCAACAGGTTTTATAAATGTGCTCTTCTAGGATGCAGGATATCCTGTTCTGTGTCTTGCTGCAGTGGTTTGAGCTCCTGTCCCTTCTGGTCAAGGATCACACTGGCACTTCTGATCTGTTCCCATGCCATCTGACTCTGTGCTGTCTCAGTGAAGTGAATCTGGGTTGCCACCATTCTTCCTGTACATCAGGTCTTAACTAAAGACCCTTCCAGCATTTGGCTGGCTCTTTCCACTCTTCTGCTACAGGTTTGCACACCTGCAGTAATCCAGCAGGTAAAGCCATATGAGGACCCTTGAGTTTAGCGCGGCTCTGCTGTTGCTGGACATCACAGAAGGTGTAGTTCATTTATCTTTTTCCAGTTTTCCTTTGTGGTCTCAGCTTGCTGCTGGCTGACATCCCTCTGCTTCTCTCCAAGAATGATGGATTGCCGTGTAGTGAGCGTGCTGTAATCTGGTCAGGAAGCAGTTTCTGCAGGTGGGAGCAGGGTTGATGCTTGTCATAATCAAAGGACTGTTGTGAGCAAGGCTCAGCTGATAACTGCTATGAATGCCTAGGCCTTTTTGTCTCTTCGACTTCCCACTGTTACTCAAAAAATACACTTTCCTCTCCTACAAAAGACCTGTCTTTGCCAGTAGTGTTGCAATTATGTACTGGTCAAATTGCACAGTGCTTAAAAAAAAAATAGGCATCTTCCCACAGGATGAGTTCATTTAGTTCAGCTTTCTATTTTTGCTTATTTTCTGGACTGTACCACCAAAACCCCAGCAATTAGACACCCGTTTTGAGAGGAGCTGGGAGAAGGAAGATCATGAAAGCCCTGGCTTGGCTGGCTTCCAAAAGCATAAGGGCTCATCTGCCACACAGACACTGGGGGTGTTGCATGTGATCTACTTGTTCTGTACTTCAAGACCTTCTCCCTTGTTTGCTTGCCTGTGACCACAGTACATCTGCTACAAAGTTTAGATCAAGAAAGGATGAATCTGCTCTACCATCTCCCCTTCCTTTTCTCTGTTCACCAAAGCATCGTGCGTTCCTTCTCTGCCTTCCTCTGGCAAGTCACAGAGCCTGTGTTACAGCAGGGGGACTCAAACTGCACAGCTTGCTGTTTCTGTGGGGTGTTTGTAATGACAGCTGCTTCACAGAATTATAGAATGGTTTGGATTGGAAGGGACCTTAAAGATCATCTCATTGCAACCCCCCTGCTGTGGGAAAGAACACCTTCCACTAGACCAGTCCAACCTTGCCTTGAACTTCAAGGTTTGGGGAATCCACAGCTTCTCTGGGCAACCTGGGCCACTGTCTCACCACCCTCACAGTAAAGAATTTCTTTCTTATGTCTAATCTAAATCCCTATCCTATCACTTCATGCCCTTGTCAAAAGTCCCTTCTCAACTTTCCTGTAGCCCTTTTAGGTAATGGAATGTACTGTAAGGTCTCCATTGAGCCTTTTCTTCTCCAGGCTGAAGAGCCCCAACTCTTTCACTCTGTTTCCATAGCAGAGGTTCTCCAGCCCTCTGAACATCTTTTTGGCCTTCTTTGGACCCCCTCCAACAGGTCCACATCCTTCTTATGTTGGAGGCCTCTGAGCTGGATGCAGTACTGCAGGTGGGGTGAGAGTGCAGCAGAGGGGCAGAATCACCTCCCTCAGCTGGCCATGCTGTTTGTGATGCAGCCCAGGATGCAGTTGGCTTTCTGGGCTGTGAGTGCACATTGCTGAGTTGTGTTGAGCTTCTTGTCAATCAGTGCCCCAAAGTCTGTTACCCGTCCGCAAGGCAGCTCTGATAAAAATCTGCTCGCACTGCAGGAGTGTCATTACTGACCTAAATTGGGGCTCAATTGTATTACCGTCATTACCTAAGAAATCCCACTTCAACGCAAATGTTGTAGTGCAACGTGAGCAGGATTTGCCACAAATACACTGATGACTAACTGTGGTATGTACAAGGCTTCTCAGCCGCTCTCTGGGCTGTAACTGTATTTTTTTTGCCTACTAATAAATTGTGTATGAGATAAATGTGAGGAATGTGGTGAAAGAGCAGAGAGGGCAAAAGAAGACTTCAGTTACAGGGTGGCGGAGAGGAGACTTGCATACAATTTTGCTTTGCTGTGTTCTGCCTGTGGAATTGTCTCTAATGTATCTTGTTGTTCTTCTTGCCAGGTGGACTTATTCAAAAAGACTCTCTTGTTAATTCCTATTCACCTGGAAGTCCACTGGTCCCTCATTACTGTGAACATCCCCAGTCGAATTATTTCATTTTATGATTCCCAAGGCATTCATTTTAAGTTTTGTGTAGAGGTAAGAGCGACAGCTGTGTCTGTGAAGTTTGAACTGTTTTCTTAAATAAACACTCCCCCCTTTCTTCTGTTCAGCCATAAACTTTAAGTGCAGTATGTCTGTCATTGTCCTGCCGGGTATGAAATGAGAATCAGTGTGTCCTGCTGAGGAGTCTGAAGCACAGATCTCGAGGGTCACACCAGAGCTGGGCATTGAGGTCAGATTGCCTATTGCCTAATTAGGCTGACTGTGTAATCAGCACAGCTTTGGTGACTCTGTTACTCCTGCGAAAAGCAGAAGCTCAGAGCCCGGTTCCGTAGGGAAGAAGACAAGCTCCAAGGAGAGTGAGGGCCATTCTTTCACCTGTTAAGGTACTTGTGTTTAGGAAATGATGAATTGTGGTTCTTTTGGGGGTAGGTTGCCTGGGTGAGAGAACAGGACTGAGATACTGTAGTGTTACCCAGTGGGGTTTACGGTTACCGTGCTATTTACAGTGTCTTGCCTTTTTCCTTGGCCTGCATTGGTACACACAGGGTGTTTGCCTCTGTTTATAACCCAGCAGCCTTTAAAGTCTGCAACCTAAACACTGGAGTTAAATTATCAGTCTTCCTGGTAAAGAGCAGCCAGGAAATTTTTGCTGGGCCTAGCAAATTGTAATGACTTTCTTACAAAAGCTAATTTTGTCAACTTAATTGCTTGGTTGATGCAGCAGACCTCTACTTTTAAGTGTGTGTAGTTGTTGGCTTACAGAAGAGTAGTAATTACTGTACCCAGGAGAGTTCCCAGCTAGGACTTCTGAATGAAGATAGTATGCCTGCTGGCATTTGCTGAGGATGAAGCTAATGTTTGTCCTGGGAGCAAGAGATCTCATGCTCTCCAGCTTCTGAATGTGCAGCGTAAACCAGGGGTCCCTCTCAGGAGCCCTACAGTCTCTCCTGCAGTCTTGCAATGTGCCCTCTCCCATCCCACTCCAGGCAAGGCATTTGTACCTAAATGTCTCACAAACATGAGACACTTTTATTGCTGCCCTTTCTAGGGGAAGGAGGGGAACAATATCCCAAACTCCACTGCGATCCACACACTTAAGGTGAATATTTGTGTGCTACCTTGTGTTTAAATTGTGCTATAAAGCCCCAGCCTGTTTACAGAGAAAGTAGAAGGATTTGCTTAACCCAAGACCATAGTCTCATTTATCTTGCTTCCTTCCCTTCGCTTGTGTCAGCTTATTTTTTCCTGTATGTCACTAAAACTCTCCCTGGAGCTTTGTTGATTAGCTACAGAACTCGGGCATTTTGTGTTGAGATTCGGGCAGGAAAATGTGGTCGTATTGAGCGTAAGGGCCTTGGTGTCAGCCAGTAAGCCAGGAAAAAACATGTGCCAGGCTGCACTGTGTTTCTCTGCATGTCTGGCAGCACCAGAGTGCCTGAGTGCCACAGCTAGTCTGGTATGAAGTATAGCAGTGGGGCTGAGGGGTGTTAGAGCTCCCCCTGATAGACCAAAATGAGCCTTGATGGTAGAAGGCACAAGTACCCACCAGAATTCATGTCTTTACTTCTAGATCTGAGCTCAGCTCCTAATGCTCACATGAAATTTGTCCTCCTTGTCAGAAGGATACCAGACAAGATGGCAATGTCTCTCTCCTGTTCTTTAGCTGGTGAATAATATTCTTGCTTTTTTCCTTTCCTCTTTAAAGAACATTCGAAAGTATTTGCTGACTGAAGCAAAAGAGAAGAATCGCCCCGAGTTCCTTCAGGGTTGGCAGACTGCTGTGACAAAGGTAATAGCAGCATTTTGAGCCCTGGAATCTGACTTTGTGGGAGATTTCTTGAGGCTGCTTCTAAACCCATATATTTGTACAAGTAGTAAATGGGTTTTTGCTGCCCACGTGGAGGGTGCTGGGAGCAAAGCAGGTAGTTACATATGGGAATTCGAGCTCTCTTGCTCATTCAGCTCCCACCAGGTCTTTGCCACTTTCTGCAAGTGACTTGGTGATCTGAGCCTTTCTCTGGAAAATTATATATCGTGCAGCAAAACCTGCAGCTGGTGCCCATATTGACACAAGGTCAAGGACTGAATGAGCTGGAGACTCAGCTTCCTCCCTTCTCCTGAAAGGGCTGTTCTGAATGCCAGAAGGATGGAGTTTGGTGAGGCAGGGAACAGGCTGATGCTGCTACTGCTGATATTTTATGTTTGCTGTGGATAGAGGGCTTTGGTCTCTAGGGCTGTTTGTGGCACATTGCGTTTGATCAAAAGTAAACAAAGTCTGGCAACAATAAAAGGGAATAACTTGTGTGTAGTGTAAATGAGGGAATATGTAATTTGTGTAGCCATCCCATAATGGCTCCAAAGATATAAAACAGGTCATTGCACACTAGATATACTCCCAGCAGCTCCCTCCTCACACAGGTTTATTTTTAGATGCTGATACAATGATGAAATGATTCCTCTCTGCACTCATGCACAACCTGTGCAGTCAGTTCGTTCTCCTGCATTCTGTGAGGCAGAAGATCTGGGAGTTGAGGAAAAACAATTACTTTTCCTCTTCAAGTGCTGGAAACATAACAGCACTAGTGTGTGGAACTTTTTAGCTCTGCATACCAAAACTGAGCATGTTTGAGGAAATAATGAAGGTTGGAAGTTATCATTTGAGGCTGCCTTGTTCAGTCCTGTTGTCTGGCAGTATACCATTCATCATGTTCTCTGAGGCCCTTTGCTGTGCTTGGGGGAAGAAGGCCACTGCTGGTAGCATGGGTGCTGAGAGTAATCTTCCTCTAGGCCTGTGTGACTTTGCTGATACAGTTTTGTCCTGTGTAAAGCAGATAATGCTGTACAAACATTTATTTAAACTAATTGAGAAGCTGTTCTGTGTAGGTCACTAAAAGAAAATAAACTTGAAATAAAGACTTGTAATTTATTTTCTGTCCTACACTATATATTTTTCTAAATGTTGGATGTTTTTCCAACAAGGTGTTTGAGTGTCACCTTGCAAAATGAGAGAACAGAGTAAGTAATTGCAGCTTCAGTTTCTGGTGATGCAGAACAGCTCTGAGAACGAGACAACTGATTGTTATGATGATCTCCTTTTGGACTCTAAGCAGGAATTTAAGAACAAAAGGATAAGTAAAAGGATAAAGATCTAACATGTCTCTGCTTGTTTCCTTTCTTTTTTAGTGCATTCCACAACAGAAAAATGACAGTGACTGTGGGGTTTTTGTGCTCCAGGTAAGAGAACTGCTTTTTGACAATCAGTGGCCTGTATTTTTCATATAGTACATGTTCTTTATTTCAACCAAGCCTTTTCCTTTTCCCCAGTACTGCAAGTGCCTCGCCTTAGACCAGCCTTTTCAGTTCTCCCAGGAAGATATGCCCCGAGTGAGAAAAAGGATTTACAAGGAGCTGTGTGAACGCCAGCTAATAGACTAATAAAATGCAGCCAACCTAATTTCTCTGGCATTTCTGACAAGTTGCAGCTGGTGTTTGTGTACTTGAATTTCTGAAAACTTCCAAGAATTTTGAGCGATTCTCAGCTGAGTGGTGTGGCCACTGTTGTTACCTCAATTTTTTGACAAGTTCTTTAACTGGCAGAACATAACAGAGCTGCCATAGAATATTCCTAATGTCAGTTTGGTTCTCTTATGTTCTTTCCTGTATTTAATATTTATTATCTCAGCATGCATATAAGCAAAGCATGCAACTAAAACCATAAAACTGTAGATTTGGTGCACCTTTGAGATGTAGCTAGAAATGACAAATACAGGTGAATTTGTCTGGAATCATAAAGATGCATGGTATGTTTTCTGATGCAATAATGCTTTGAATGTATCAAAAAAAAATCAATGCCATAAAAAGAACAGCTAGAACCTATTTGGTAGTCGCATTGTCCCTGTTGTGGCTGTACAATACTGAATACCACTTTTTAGGGTGGCTAAGCTCATCTACAGTTTTAATTTGTGAAACCCCTTTTTTAAAATCGTTCAAGTTGATAATGAAGTTTATTCTGTTAACATTTATCTGGCTGCCGTTATCAGCCTGTCCCTATAGATAAAAAGCAGCCTTTGCACAAATAAAGCTTCAGCACTTGTCTGTATAATAGGGACTACACAAGTGTTCAGTCAGTCAGATTAAGTTCCTAGATGCTGCAGAAGTCTTCATGATGTGTGTATTAAGGAGAATTACAAAGCTGGCCCTGAAGAGTCGCAGCTTAGATAGTAAGATAAACTCCTTGGCTGTAACTGTTTACATCTCAGATGGCTTTGAGTCATTTCTCAGATCCACAATATGCAGTGAAACGTACCATTTTGGCATTTCTTCCTTCAGCTCTGTCTTCAAAGCTTGTTGTCTTTAACCTCCCGTTGGCTTTTGCTTTTGTTCAAATATAAATTAATTCATTTCTGCTGCATCTGCTGTTTGATTGTCCCTGGTTTGTTTGTGTTCAGTAGCACCGATGGGTCTGGTTGGTAATAACAGCATTTGTGGTGGGTGCTGTACAGACACAGCGAGGTTGTGTCACTGCTCCAGAGGGGTGGGAGGCTGCGAGTCCCACACTGAACTTTGCAGTGTTGTTGCACTGGGCAGGGATGAGTGAGAGCAGTGGATCTGCTGGGTTTTCACCTTGGTCTGTACACTATGATGTGCTCCTTGCTGAAGAGAGCTACTTCTGTTTGAAGAGACTGTTGTCTGGCACTGCTACACCAGCAAATGTCTTTGCCGTGTTTTTCTGCCAGATAAAGGAGTGAGCCCAGAGGAAAACTATTTTCATTGCTAAACATCATCTGTTGCACAGCTTCACTTTGTGTCTGTCCATGGCTCTGGCTTCCGATGGAGGAAAACCACTTTGACTTCCCGGTCTTGCAAATTAATTCAGACTTGAGCTAAGCCAGGTGCAAATCCCTCCTAAAGGACTGGAGGGAGCAGGGGGAAGTGAGGGAGTGCCAAGCACAGTCAGGCTGGGAAGTGGAAGCGTATGTGCACTGTGCTGTGCAAGAGGAGTTCCTGCAGTATCCTTGCGTGTTCCCACTTCCCCTTGTTGGCAGCTGGCAAGGACTGGCTTAATTTAGCAAGATAAGGAAAGCTTTAAGCACTTGGTTAGATAATTTAAACAAGGAATTTATTGAATCAGAAAGAACCTTAAGACCCAGACAGGCTAAACATGCATTTGCCCATTGTATACCACAGAGCACCCCACAGCACATGGTTTATTTGTGCTTCCCTGAGGTGTTACTGGTAGAAACAGCAGCACCTTCTTTGGGCAAGTGATTGCGAGCAGTGGAGCGTGACTTCCATGGAAATTGCAATTTGGGATGTAGTTTCTCATATGGGGGTAGCACATGTGAGCCAGTGCTGCCGTTCTTGCCTTCTTTCTGCTCTGGTATCACACAAACAGCTCCAGTGCTTATGCTGCCATGCATGGGACAGCTGATCCGGGCTACAACTAACCCAGAGGACAGAGGAGTTCTCACCTCGATGCAACTTGTGACTGTATGTATGTACCAGTATGAATGAATACTCAGAATTGGGTAGCCAGGAAGAGACATGAAGGTGGTGCCAAATTTGGGTGCATGCAAGGGAGGCTTTACTCTCAAGCAAGACTCCTGGCAGAAAGGGAGTGGAATACAGAAAGAGAACTGCGTAAGCAACTGGCTTTTATTTTCAGAACTTGAAGTGTTTGGTAAGGAAGCTTTATAGGTGATGCTGCATCAGCCTGGAAGACTCAGTGCCCCCAAGAAAGACTCTTATTTTTTTGAGAAACTCGCCACGTTGATGGGTATTTTTCATTGCATGGGAATGTGCTGGAGCACTGGACTACAGGCAGTCATCTCCTAAAGCTTGGTGCCTGCTACTGGTTGGTAGGTATCCATCTTCCTCTATAGGAGAGGTTGTGAGGAGTCTTTAATCACGATCCTTTGTCAGTGGCATCAGCAAAAGCACAGTATTCCTGTGAACTGTGTGGTTAACGTGGGTGCTTTGAAGCACATGCATATGTGTCCCAGATCGTTTGAGGGGAGGGGGATTGCGTTTGAATGTGCTGCCTTGTGAACTGGGGAACAGGGTGGGGAAACATGCATGTTGGAAAGTACTTCTTATGTGCTTTCTTGTCATCTAGAGGTTTCCTGACAAGTGTTCCAGTTGGTTATGGGGCAGCACAGAGGAGTTGCACTTGAGTCTCCAGCTGTGAACACACCAGTGAGGGGCCTTGGAAAAAAAAGGAGGGGAAATTGAAAACAGAGCTAATGTAAGCAAAATATGTTGGTGCAGGGTTGAAATTAATCACAGGCAGTCGGAATCTCAGGCTCTGTAATGGTGTATCCTGTGAAACTGGACTAATTAACTCCTCCTTGAGAATGTCTTTGATGCCTTAAAGGAGATGGACTCTATAATCTGTAGTCATTTTACTAGTTCTTAAAACATTCAGAACTATGAAGAGTGTTTTTATTATGAGAGGCACATTTATGTGGATGTAGTTATGGCTGTTAGCAATTCCATTAATGTGATCTTCAGATTTTCATAAATCACTCTGAACTGGTTTGGCGGATGCTTAAATTTCACGACTTGTTCCAAAGAGATTGTCTCGCTGTGCTGATTTATACAAATAGTCCCAGAACTGGTGAAGCCTCTGTCTCGTGTGTGACAAATTTAAGCTACCTGAGTTGTAATAAACCTTAAACAGAATTGAAAATGAATTATCAGTTTCCATTTCATTTACTTTAATCTATAGTCTTAAATGACTGTGTCCCTGATACAAATCAATAAATGCAGAATGTGGCCTTGATTCTGCAAGGTGAGTAGAGAGATGCCTATTGCTGAGCTGGTGGGTACTTGCAGAATGGAGGGCTGGCCCTTTGTGCTGTCTGATTTGCAGTTGCTCTGTTCTTACCTGGGTCTCTTGAGTGTGAAGGTGATATTTTTAATGTTTCACATGCACTGATTACTGAGCCAGACAGTCTTGCACACAGTTGCTGCCTTGTGTTGAATCTCCAGTGTGATGCTTAACCTACCTCTACTTTCTGAAGGCATTTTGATTGGCATTATCTACTGTAGCATTTACTTAATTCATTGTGGAAACTTAAACCTTGGGAAGTGACGTAGAGTCAACTCCACTGAGCAGCAACTGTGCATCGTGGGTGTGCTCTTGCGCTGAATGAAGCCCATGTTCCTGTGAAGTAATAAAATTGAGTTTTACCATGAACCCTATTTTCTTTCAGTGGTTTGGTTTCAGTTTAATTTCAAAAGCAACTGATGTGATGGTTGAGGGAATGTTTGTAGCAGCTTGTTTTGGGATCTGTGTTATTAGGAGAAGCCTCTCCAGTTGATTAGTTCAATAGCTCTGAACTGCACGCTAATGATGCTCTCTGTCTTGCAGTGGTTTGACTTCTGACAACATACAAGTTTGGAGATGTCACCCATTGCATAAAAAGGGGTGGAAATCTTGCATTAGACACTTTCTACTAAGGTGGCATTTAAAAAATACAAATCTGTGTTTTTTAAAAAACACAGAACATGTAGGACCTAAATTGCTTTTCTGGATCCAACTGTGTTAGTGCCCTTCTTGTACTTCTTGTGGATTTAGCCGTGTAACTATAGAGTTAAATCTTGTCTTTGCCACATTTTACAAAACTGTACAGCTTGTGAATTTGTGATAATGGTGAGAATGAAGGCTTAGCAAATGTCTCTTTAAGCTATTAATCATGAGACTGGCAACATCATTGTCTTTATTACATTCATAATTTAAAAATCCTATCATGGAGGAGGAAACATGGATGCTTGTTAAATATATTCTTCAGTGGAAAGTACTAAGAAATCAGATCATTAAAGTACAGAATCATAAGAGACACTAGAGCCTTGCCAGGAACAATAATTACTATTTATATGTAATAGGCACTGGGAGGGAAGGAGATGAGTCTGATTTGCTTGTGCCTGAACTTAATGGGTTTTATGAGTAACCAACTAGAAGGATTTGGGGATTGAATTTCATTTCAGAGCATATAATATTACAAACTGTAGAGCTAAAAACTGTTGCAAACTGAGTGAAATATCTTGAGAAATCAACTGGTTTGTTTTCTCTCAACACAAGTACGCAGAACATGTGCGAAGCAGCTCCAGCTCCTGCCTGAAATTCTGATGAGTTCTTAATTCTCGGGTTTGATTTCAACATTGCTGGTAACTCACCTCCTCTAATGCGGCACTTTCTTGAGGTTACAGACCTTACCTAATGCTAAGGTTACCTGGGGCAACTTTGGGAAGTGGCTGAGAGGAGGAGGGACCAAAAATCCATTGGGGAATCTGCATGCACCACCTTGTGATAAATGTGTTGTGGGAGGAAGGGCAGGGGAGTAACTGAGCTTTAAATAAGATGTATTTAGCTGGATAATGTGGGTCAGGTCATGTTTATGGTACATGAGCTTGATGCAGACAAGGAGCCATCTTGTTTAAGGAAACCTTTGGTCTGAGTGGGAGAGAAATGCGGGG